ATGCAATGTAATGCAATCCAATGCAATCCGATGCCATCCAATGCAATCCAATGCCATCCAATGCAGTGTAATGTAATTATGTATGTCATGTATGTATGTATGTATGCATGTATGTATGTATGTAATTAATGTAATGTATGTAATGTATTGTATCGTATCGTATCGTATTGTATGTCATGTTACGTTACGTTATGTTAGTATGTATGGCATGGCATGGTATGGTATTCAATGACACAATAACAAGGCTGATTTGTTCTGCCCCTCTTTGCTTTGATGAGAGGACGTTGATCCCATCCCACGAGCCTTGCTTGCAGCAAGCCTGAAAGCTCCCCTGCAGCAAGCCTGAAAGCTCCCCTGCATTTGACCATGAGTTTTGTTCAATTGGTACGTCAGGATGAGTTCTTCGCTGGTATGAGCTATGTTCACAGATGTTTAAGGCACTTGCTGGTTCCTGAACTAAGGTTTGGACAGCGTTGGGCCTCTTGTGTTGCAGTGAATCGAGGAAGAATTGATCCCACATTCACCATTTCTGTGGGTGTGCATAGTCCACCCCAAACCCGATCCTATTTTGGAGGCTGAATCTGACACCATGTTTCAGGCACTTGTCAAGGAACCTGGTTAAAGATTGACGTTAGCCTGTGCCATTGGTAAGCTCTTAGCTTTGCTAAATTGACAAATTGATGTTGCTATGATTTTTTGTTCATTTCCATGTTCCCAAGTCTACGCTGCACCTTGAGGTATTTCCGATACACTTCCAGTCGGTTAGAATGAACATACCTATTGTACATATTTTCTTGCGAAATCAACCAAATACAATATTGTAATGGTTGATTAAAAACATTCCCAACATTTTCCATTGACATGTTTGAAATAATTACTGTATATAGTTATAGTTATGTACAATAAATTGTGTCAAATTATAAAGAATAAATATATAAAATATATTGTAAATATTATAGTTAATAAGCGCCATTTCCAGATCAAACACAGCTGCAGATGTTTTCGAGGGCCGGGAGCCATGTGGTAGACTCTTTGCTTTTTCCCTTGCGTTGGAATGAGCTTCATTGTTTTGATCCCGACACTGATATTTATGTCCCTTGATCCGGTCACCATGCCTGAAAAAGGCAAGTGAAGTTTTGGCGGTGTTTGGCTACGGCCATGTGACGCACTAATCTCGGATCCTTTCGCAGAGCTTGCAAACGATCACTACAGAATGGGCATACTACCTATCAGGGAAAGACTCTGTGGGCAGCAGATGTCCCGTTCAGACTGCAAGCAAAGGCGATGCACTTCGACCATCCTGTGAAGAAGGGATGGTCATCCTCACGCTAGGTGTATCGACCGTCGTAGTAAGGTCAGTGGGATCGAATACACACCCCGGACTTGGGGCCGGGTTTTCAAGAGCATTTTTTCTTGGAACGCCTCACGGGGCCTGACATACCTAGAGTGGTGCGACGGGCGCTCTGAAGATGTTCTATTGATTCATCAAACTGGCTGGACATTGAATGGTCAGTGGACAACAGATTCTTGGTACTGCATCCACACACACATGCAGCTTCTGCCACACAGTTGCTCATGATCCGCCACACCTTGATTCGTCCTTCACTTTTAGCGTACAATGCCATTATTCCTGGACGGCTGGTCCATGTTCGTTTGATATTGGAGCGCGTCCATGACATCTATGCGGCCTAGTAGATTGCCTGGAACACCACCCGCTCTGCCCTAACACTTCTTCGTGATAGGTAGGATCTGTGGAAGAAGTTGATTCAGTGAGTTTTGCATATACCCAAAAGTCACATGCTTCTCATAGCTGGTGATTTTTCAATTCATCCTTGGATGCTGCCCCACCCTATATAGGTAGCCCTGACCTAGGCTTTCATAGAGCCCTTTAATCGGACAAATTGATTTTCTAACAATTGATTGGTGATTTGTCCTTGATAGCAGTGCATTGCAAGCAACGATATATTCCAACCTTCCTTCATGGAAACCATCAATCCAGAATAGATTTTATGTTTCTTCGTGCGCATCAGGTCCGTTGGCAACACCTTCGTGTTAAGGTAGATTGTCAGGTCGAACGAATAGGTCTGCATAATGGTCCTCAACATCGACCACTTACTCTTTGCCAAAAAGGCATGTAATTCGTCTACCACAGGCACCAACCATGCCTATCGACCGATTCCGTTTGCGCTAGGAAATAATGGGAGCCACACCACGGTGGATTACCTTTGAACAAGAGGTTAGGAAGAGGTTAGGAGTTGCATCTTTAGATACAGCCCATTTGTTGAGTGTGGTCCGCTCCATAATTGCCTGGCTTTGGAATTGGCCATCAGACAATTATGCATCACGCATTTTCCTAACCAAGACCTATCCTGTATCGAGATTTTAGTGTTCGCTCCATGATTGCACGTATGTGGCATGCACGTGGACAATTTCGTATGGTTTACATTATTTCTGTTTTAAGATTCTTCTTCATTATTGGAAGAATAATATGATTTTCTACTCACTGCACGCCTAGATCCGATAGTACAATCGTTAGAATAAACGCCGGAAATTGGAACAATATTTGCAAGGAAACGTTGAATATGCCTGTATGCATGAATGGTATAGGAACATCCGAATTATTGTTTTAAATAGTCATTTCGCAAAATATAAATTATCGATTTACATGCTTTGTATTATGTATGGACTACGGATTTAGGACTCTTATCGCTGCAGTGAGCCATTGGCTGGCTTTACTTGTTGAGTAAACTTAATAAGCTAGCAAATAATTCGGCGGCCCTTAGATTTATATGCCTTTAAAACCTTGTAAATAAAATTATGATGGCATTTATTGTTCGTTTATTATGGTCTATGCCGTCTTATGCTTGCGTATCGATTTTACTTTATATTTATTTTTCGCACCGTGGCACCAAAAAAAAATTTATTATTATTGATTTTTGACTATTGTCGAAGCGTCCGGACACTATGCTAATTGCATATTACGAAAGGTATTTTGGTAAGGACTATCTTGAATTTGCTTTGCGAAGTAAAGGGATTGGCTTGAGAGCTTGCTCGGGAGTAAAGATTGATAGATTAATATTTAACACTTCTATTATCCCCCTTCCCCCCCCCTTTTATGTAATGAATAATTAATAAATTAATTGATTCGTCCCCCCTCCCCATTCCTTTCCCCGTCTCTTCCCCTCGTCGCTAGCGCTATTAAATTCTGGACATAAGGTGAAATTATGCGCTTAATAGTCATAGCAATACGATCCTGGCCATGAGATTGCGCAATACAGCACGAACCCTGCGCAATGCAGCTTCGATGCCGCGCGTGCGCATCCGGCAGCTTGACACAGCGCGTACTGCGTTCACAGGCCATATTGCTCGACACTAACGAGTATCGATGCAACGCAGCCTTTTTGCAAAGCCCTGTGGAGAAAGAACGCCATTCGATCCAGCCTTATACCCTAGCGTGGCGAAATCTTGCCGCATCGTGGAGCACACCCACCATACCGTGACGTCCATTCTTAGCAATACCGGCCGCACCTCTCCAGCACTATCCTTGCAAGGGGGTTGGTCACTGAGTCACTGCGGCTTCGACGCAACGCGTGCAGGCCTGTAGCTGGTATACATACGAGTAATTACGCATTGCGATTTTTACGCGCGCCTGTTTTCACACACCTTGGACACAAACGAGCGAGCGTCGACGCAACGTAGTCTCTCTGCAGAGCCGTGTGGCGCAATCTGACCGCAACGGAATTCCTTTTGAGCCTTCTTATGCCTTCTTGCGTTCTCTGGCTTTGTTGGTTTCATCTATATATTGACCAAGGGGCACGTTCCTGAAACACCAGAAACAATCCCTCACCAGAAAAGGTCCCGACAGCTACTCGATCCGTCTCTACCTTTCGTGTTTCCCCGCTTAAGTTCGATGCTATTGACCGACCCTTGGTTATTCGAGCCTTTTCATTGTAAAATTTAGATTCGAATCTTCGAATGCTTGTATATTCTTGGCTTCAAAATTATGATTATTGGATTCTACATAAAGATCTCTTTATTCGCTTTAACTCGGGGAATGTTATAGATCTTAAATATAATATATATAATCCTTCATGAATTCCTTGCCAAATATAATCTTAATTGGATCACCTTTTATATCATTATCTATATTGATGATATTTATTTGCGGTGGATTTTTCGGTCTTAGTACGATGATTTTGAAGCCCTTTATAATTTGGGTTTTTGTTTTGTGCACGTTTAACGGTATATTGTTTCTAGATTAATGTAAGTAAGAATATTATTATTACGTGTTTGGTGTGGAAATTTGTATTAAATTTTTATAAATATAGAATTTCCATAGGATTTCGCGTATGTTTATTACAATATGGATATTTTATTGTTTATTGTAGATAAAATTAATTATTTCGAAGTGGTATTTAGTTGTGTTCGATATAGATTTATATATTATAATAATTAATATATATTATTGTATTTTGAAAAATAATTTATGTATATATATTTTTAGCTTATTTCGAATTAAATTATATTTATAATATTTTTTGTTAATTATTATATATGGTATTTATGAAATTGTTATTTTATTTTGATTATTTTATTAAATTATTGGTATGAATTATAAATAAATTAGTAAAATATTATGGGAAATAATAATAGGATTTATTATTTTATGATGCTATAGAACGTACATAGGGTTATGGATTAATAAATTTTGGAAGCGATATGGATATATGTATTTTATATTTAATAATATTTAAATATAAGTAATTATTAATTTGGGGATGTATATTGGATGAGAATTAAATATAGAATCTTTGTAGGATTTTATGTATATTTATAAAATACGAATAATTTGTTATAATTTTATATTATAATAACTAATATATAATATTGTATTTTTTATATGATATTTATGAAAATTATATTTTATATCGATTTTTTTTAATTAAATTATTGATATAATTTATAAATGCCAAAAAAGAATTAGCAATCCTTGTGTATTTTGTTATATTGTTGTCTTAATAAGAATTTTATGCGTAAGCATTGTGGGGACTAGCGCTAGGATTTGTTAATGTACGAAATTATACATTAAATTAAATTTAATATATGTATTTTTTTGGGCCTAACAATATTTCGATTGATCCGTTTTTAATGCCGATTGAGATGCTAAAACCGACTAACAATCATGGATATTGATGAACCATCGGCCGAGCATAATCGACCGATGCTTAGTTGTGCAAATATTATGCTTGTCATACGATATTATTCGAAATATTTATTAATCCTAATAATATAATTTTGATAAGCAAGGTTTATTCGGCAATATTTAGATTTTTCTTAATATGGAAAAGGTATTTGATTCGATTAATCGGTTATTAATAGGATAATAGAAATCTTTCTATGCAAATGGATTATAAAGATCTCTGGCGGTCCCAAATTATGCTAAATAGAATTTAATATAATTAATGTTCGAGCCAATTACTAATACAGGGTTCGAATTCAAGCTGGGAATTTGGCTTCTAGCGGCATATTCGGGAAATGTTCGCGGATCTTTCGTAATTTTTGTTGTGGTGTTTTCCCGATCAAACCATAAGGATTACATTGTATTTCTATTCTTTGTTCATCGATAGAAAAGACAATACATAAAATATATATAATTCGATATTTTTTTCACGAAAATATATTTACGAATCTTTCGTGGATGGTTGTAATAATGTTTGAATGATTCTATTATATAGAATGGTTATATGTAATTTTTGTTTAATTTCTTTAAAAAACATTGAATTAAATAATTTATAAATATAAATTAATGTATTTTTATTCAATATTTCAAAAAAAATTGATTGTATATATATAGATTGATATTAATATAAAAATTCAATAATATTAATAAATGCATCTATTTTATTTATAAATTA